GGTGAGAACTGAGCGTTTAGGGTGTAGGGTTTAGGGTTTAGGGTTTAGGGTTTAGGGTTTAGGGTGTAGGGTTTAGGGTTTAGGGTTTAGGGTTTAGGGTTTAGGGTTTAGGGTTTAGGGTTTAGGAAGGGTGAGAACTGAGCACAATCAGGACGAGACATGTGAAGGCGACGAGAAAAGCTTCTGTGAGTCTGTGAGCAGTGCTGAAGGGCCGAAATCAGAAGAGCACTAGCAAGTATGCAGGGCGACTATGAGCGCCCAGCCCTCACTAGACAGAACGAATGTGTTGCAACCACTGCTTGGACGTGGGCTGGACGCTGTAGGGACGTTTCATCGATGCCAGGGGTAAGCCGGCAAGGATGCGATAAAGACGATGACGGCTCAGCTAGAGGGCATATGAGAACGACACGTGTAGCCATCTCAGAGAAAAGCCTTCCCACCGTTGGGTGGGAAGTGCGGCGACAGAACAGCTGCGAGACAGCTGGAGGCCGCGACAAGTCTTCAGCAGCCTGTTGTTGTGTGCAGTGCTGAGCAACCGAGATTACATGAGCACGCTAGACACTACCGGGGCATTGTGAATGCCCACCTTTGAACGAGAGCTCAGCCGTGCCTTGGAGTGAAGGACGCTAGAACGGGTCGGAGAAGCCGATCAAGCAAGGCAGTGTGAATGATACCGAAGAGGACGCGAAAAGGCGGTAAAGCACAGAGCAGACTTTCAGTTCAAGGGGCATGAAGGGCGAGGCGAGCTGCAGTTGTAAAATCCAAAGGGCCTGCCTTTGAGCAGCATCTTAGGGCTTAGGGTTTAGGGTTTAGGGTTTAGGGTTTAGGGTTTAGGGCATTCTGGGATTGAGCTAGCGAAGAGCTGTATACGAAGAGCTTTAGTTGAGGAGTATGGGAGATGGGAGTTCCAAATCGGCTCAGAAGTTCAGTGAGAAAGGCGACTCGCATGGAGACCGTGAGAACTGAGCATCTACTACCCCTCTCTAAAAAAGTGCGGATGAATCGAAGTGACGTGAGTACTTACGGTATGTATAGTGCCGGGCCACTCTACGTGTCCACCCGGGGACTCCTGACATCAAAGAGAGCCCAGCCCCTTTGGAATGAAGGACGCTAGATCGTGTGGCTCGCGAAGCCGGTGAAGAGGCACAGTGCGAATCATACCGAAGAGGGGAAGAGGCTGTGACAAAATGAAGACGGCGAGACAGCAGCCTCTCCCCTTATAGCTGATGAATCGAAGTCACGTGGAGATTAGGGCTATCGTGATTCCGCGGCACCCCTCATGGGCAGTAACGTAGCTATCCAAAGAGTGCAGACAGCTTTGCCGCGGAGCTTCAGGACACCAGAACGAGTGATCGGAGAAGCTGTGGAGGCAGAGGCACAGAGCCGGGTGGACGCAGTCCATCCGAGCTGAGAGTCGGGAGATGCGATGAAGTTATGCTGAGTAGGATCGCTAGGAAGAACGAGGCTCCACGGGGGGAGCATGAGCAATGTAGAATGTGTACTGGATGTCTGCGGTAGCCTCCATTCTCTCCGACACCTTGTCTCAATCGAGCAACGGCGACGCTAGACAGAGATGAACAGCCCAGACGCCGCGGTACTGACATCAAGGGCCGACGCAACAGACGACGGAAAGATATCGAGGCCGGCCCCTCCAGCCGTATGAGTATGGAGGGCCTGCGAAAGAACTGATGCGCCGGAACGGAGCGAAGTAATTTCTAAATTTCTCTGTCTCCCTTCTCTATCACTCCCCTTCTTCCGGCGCGATCTCTCATCCCAACTTGAACTTAGCATTTAAGCTCAAGGCTACTGTGAGCCCCCTGCAGGATCTGGGCCACGTGCACGGTGACATTTGCAAGCCCTTCCTTTCAGCCTTGACATCGAAGGCACGCTGGAAAGCTTTCTGGACTGATCAGACATTGTGGCTTCCCTGCTAGTTGTTCAGAGGGTGCACATATTGCATAGATACATACATACATACATACATACATACATACATACATACATACGTACATACATACATACATACTTACTTACATACTTACATACTTACATACATACATACATACATACATACTTATATACATATA